GGACGAATCTCTACTCCTAATGTCTGAGTTGGTAGGATTGCGTCCACGATTTACTTTCGTCTGGTTTATTTTCGTCTGGTTTATTTTCGTATCACATCCCACCACCATATCTCATCAAGTTGTTTTTTTACCTTCACAATAAAAACTTTCCTAACCTTTCCAAAGTTTCCTAACTAGACACATTATAAACGGGAAGGAATTGATAGCACGTTACCAATCAATAAAATTTAGTTTTATGACAATCAATTCTAAATCTTAATCTCTACTCCTAATGGACGAATTGGTTGAATAGTCCCACCATTTTCAACCGGTTTATTTTCAACCGGTTATTTTTCGTCTGGTTTATTTGTCCCACCTCCCACCTGGTTGAATAGTCCCACCATTTTCAACCGGTTTATTTTCAACCGGTTATTTTTCGTCTGGTTTATTTGTCCCACCTCCCATCTGGATTGATAGCCTTTATGGTAATCAATCACAATTAATCCACGTATGGAAAGGCTATAAACTCAGAAATCTTATCAATCCAGCCTTTATGGTAATCAATCACAATTAATCCACGTATGGAAAGGTTATAAACTCAGAAATCTCATCACCGTTTTTTTCGTCATCCTACCACCTCTGCTCAGTATAACCGGTACAGGGAGGAGAAAAGAGAAAAAAAAAGCCCAGCTCGCACGACCTTCCTCCTCGATCCCATCTCGACCTCCGTCCCGCCGCCACCTCCTGCCCTGCCCCGCCCCGCCCAGCCTCACCGCGCGCTGCCCGCCGCCGACGCTCCGCCCACCGCAGCCGCGCCCGCACCCATCTCCCATCGATGCGCCACCATCTCCTGTATCCATGCTCCGCCGTCTGAATCCCGCCGTCGAGTCTGTCCCGCTCGCCGTGGCCAATGATCGCATCGACCGGGACCGCATCCCTCCCCAAACGGCGGCGATGACGGAAGGCGCCGCCCAGCTCCTGACTGACGGAGTCGCCGGGTTACCGCTCCTCGGGGCCAGCCCCTCCCCCGTGTCGGGTCGCGCATCGGCTTGGAGGCCCCTCGGGGCTGCCGCCGATGCGGGAGTCCTGCACGGCCGTGGGGACTGGGGACCAAGCGGCGGGGCCCGTGTCGCGCTCCTGTTGAGGGCTTGCTGGGGTTGGCCGGGATCTGAGCCGCCGTCGATGGATTTCTTGCAGGTTGGCTACATGTTGCTTCGGATTTGGTACTATCCCCATCTCCCTCTCTCCCTGGACAGCCGTGGACAGGCGGACGTGCTCCTACTCCTCACAAGGCACCCACATTCTTTATTAGCAAGCCAATCCAAAACTTCAGCATGCATTTTTTTTGAAAGGACAATTAAGTATCTTTGTTAGTAACATCTTTGTCAGAAATTAGAAAAACGCCAGTGCATTAGTTGAGCTAATCAGCTAGCTTCATCTCTTGGATTATGAATTGATAGTATGGCACATGTTGTATCGTTATAAGCAATTTTTGTTAGGAGGTAAGATTTTAGTGTCGTACTCGACCACGACAAGCAGCAGCTCGCGAAGCCTTTGCAATTCATGTATTTACAACATTTACAGTTCATCCAGTTGAATCCTTATATTGTAATTCTATTCCCTACCCTTTCTTACTTGTAGGAAATTCAAGTGTGGTACACATGTGAGTATATTCTCCTTCCCTCTGTTGTAT